AGTGGTGCACAAGCTCCATACCCGGCAAACACCCTTGATTTATGGCCCAAAGCCGCCCAAGTCAAATCAAGGAACCAGTGAAGTCCATCCTGGGTTCAACTTGGAAGGAGGTCTACGGGAAGACCGAGTTCATGGACTTCCTGCGCTCCGCGCGCGGCAAGCTGCCCCCGGAGCCCGCCCCGGAGGTCAAGGACGCGAGAAACGGATCTGCTGGATTCGGAAAGGAACCGAATCCGATGTGGGGTTCTCCTCGCAACAAGTTGGTTTGTTCTGGGTAAGCGAAATATAGAACAACAAAATTGGACATGTGAGTTTTGGTGTACCCCTTGCCTATTGGACTTGGAGCCAACCAAAAAAGCAACGATTCTTGTGTGGCTTGCTTATGCAATAGGTGCATTCCCCAAGTCAGGTTGGTTCCCTGGGACCAGAAAGATAGCAATCCGTGAGTTCCGGGACTTTAGCCTTTGGGAAGGCCTCCCTTCGCAGACCAAAAGGCTAGGACTTGCTTTGGGCCCATCCACAGGGAGAAAAGAGGCATCAGCCGGCCGAAAGGATGGAGATCCCGCTGGGCAAACCCAGGTTGCGGCTGCTCTTTTGTGTGCTTTTGGTTGACTCTTGGCATTGATGTATTGAGCATCGACGTTGGATTTTTCCAGATAGCATTTTTTTGATGCAATGTCCACAATTCTGCCATTGCGTCGCGACAGATGCCTGCCAGTTGGATCACTTGGGTTCGCAGATGGCTCGTTGGCTGTTCCAACTCCCAACCAGTTTATGCGACCCCTTCCTCATTTTACTTTTTTTCCGCCCGTTTTGCCACCTTATACTTGTCGGTCCAGGGTTGGAACTTGACAAAAGCAATCCCATGGTCCTCTATACGACTGACGCCCTCCATAGCGATCCGTCCAACTGCCAGGAGACTGTGATCGAGGCTGACCCGGACAAGCCGGTGGAAAAAGCCGCAGGCGGGCGTGGATAGGAGAGACGACAAATTGCTTCCCCCCTAAATATTCATTTGGTGTCACATAGCCCATCATTGTTAATGTTCCGTGACGCCCAGTTCTAAGAATCCCTTCTGAGAAGGTTCCTTGCGAGCTTTGTTTGGACGGTTGGCCCTTTGGTTTCCCGACACATCATGTGCCCAGAAATCTAGGAAACCCTGTTGCTTTTTGAACTTTGTCCCAACCGTTTGGAAAACGAGAGGGAAACATGGGAAAGTAACTCATTGGAGCTGTAGGGTCCCCTTTCATGGGATGTTTGTCGATCTGCTTGTTTGTTTGTCTGCCTGTTTGTTTGTTGGCTCGGCTGGTTGGTTGACGGTTGATTGTTGGCGTTGGTGTTCCTGGTGTTGGTGTTGGATGGTGTTGCTGCTGTTGTTGTGACACTGGGAGGACACTTCGTGAACACATGGCAATCTCACGCTACACCATCACACATGAGGACGTGGCACGGCAACTGCAACACCAAACGCAGCAAATCCTGAAATCCACGTTTAAACCGTTTTTTTTTCAGAAATCCTAGAACGATGTGACGTCACGTGGTGCTTTTTGCAGTCCAGGCAGTCTTTGGGAAAATGGACTGCCAGTTTATCTCACTTGTGCCTCGTGGTTTGGCTTTGGCCCCACCCCAAGATGATTTTTGAGTAGGTCAGTCATCCAGCTTACAGAACCCGATGACGCGGGCGGAGTCAGGCGAGGCTGCGGCTCCGGCTCCGGCTCCGGCTCCGGCTCCGGCTGCAGCTCCGGCTCCGGCAGCTGCCGCGGCCGCTGAGGTCGAGGTGAGCCTGAGGGGACGGGGTTGTGCTTTTTTGGGCTCACTTCGGAGGTAAAGCGAGCCAAAAAGTCATGGTCCTTACGTGGGTCGGATCCAATTCAGGAGTCAGGTGGAAAAGCGTTCGAAAGGCGTCCCAGGCCCAAGCAAACAAGCAAACAAAATGAAAAGGAAGCAAATGCCGGGCAGGAGGAATACATGTTTATTCGCAAGGGAGGTGCCATGTTTAATAGCTTGGAGAGTATTGGATGGTATGGGGTGAGGTACTCTAAAGGATATCCAAGAAACCCAACGAGGCAATCTCTTCGCCGCTACTAGGCATCCCTTTTTGGGTGGTGGTTGAGAAGCTCTCGGGTCAGTTATGTTGTTCTTTGGATTGTTGTGCTTAGTGGGAGCTGTGCAGGGTTGTAAACACGGCTTGTTCTGCGTTGTGCTTTGTCTTGGTACCCAAATGTCATGCAATCCGCAAACACTGCGCATCACTTTGCTGCCAATCCAACCAAAGCCAACCTTTGAACCTTGCTGCTTCTGTTTGGTCTATGTGTTGTCAAGATTCCAGGTGAGCCTTGTATTTCCAGGTTCTTTGCGCGGGTGGTATTGACGCTGCCGCTCGGCTTGTGTTGGGTTTTGTTTGTCGCGAGGTTGAAGAGCCCATGGCAGTGGAGGACTGGCCGGGGTTAGCCGCTAAGCCCCCCCCAACCTACGCCTAAACAGAGCGTCCAAAAACGGCAGATGGCCGTGGGTCAACACCAATAAGATCCCATTTTGGGGTGCAACACCAATTTTAGTCTATTTCAGTGGGGATTGGGATTTTCACTGAGGGTACGGGGTTTTGACCCATAGCCAGATGTGTCGCTTTCAGCACGCACGAACTGTTTTGCTCTTATCAAAGGCTTGGTCATCGCCCCGGTGCCAAATGTGTCCGCTTTGAACACCAACTCTGGTTACTATGTGGGTACCGGCCTGCGCCAAATGATTGGAATCTGAACAATCCTTCATCCGCACTGTTGCAAAAAGAAAAAACGGCTTCCCGGATATTTAGCAATATGTGAAGCTTTGTATATGTCTAGCGCATTTCGAGTTCCTTGAGAGATGCTGAGTGTACACAGCGGCAAAACCAGATGACTAGGGTTAAAACCAAATGAACTTGCAAATGTCAAGTATGTTTAAGATGCTGCTCCATGTTTGGAAGCCTAGCTTCATGTTTTGCCTCTAAAGTTGCTTCTTGTTCACTTTTCTTGGGGCGTCTTTCTCCCCCTTCCTGGCGACACTGCGTGGTCTCTTTTGAGGACCCGTACGGGCCAGTGCCGGTGGAGGAGAAGCCGAAGGAGAAGCGAGCTGCGGAGCCGAAGCCGGAGGCGGGTCCAAGAGCCATAGGTCTGTTGTCCTGTGGGGGTCCCTAAGGGGGGGAGGGTGTCCCCTTTAGGGCCCGAACCTCCTGGGAATTCAACTTGGCACGCGGCATCACGCGGCTTTGGTCCTAATGTCAGAGTGGTTTCTCTTGTGCTGGTGTCATGGATTTGGATTAGGGATTCCTCCAGCTGGAACAACCCAGTTCACAATCGAGGGACCAGAAGTGAGGTGGGGACGGTGCCCAGATATTCTCCCAGAGCAAAGTTTGGCAAAAGTTAGCGACCAGGCAAAGGTACGGGTTTCCAGCCTTTCTTTTTCGGGGTCGTTTGTCCAGATGAAAGTGACCGGTTGGGTGGCTCGCATTTGCGCCATCTGCTGGAGAGTGATTTTGAGAGCGTCCCTTGTGCGAAAGCAGATGGCCGAATTCCCGAATTTGGGTTTAGTACCCTCCCAAGATAGAACCTGCAGAGCGGTTCCGTGGTTGCTTTTGGGAGGGTGATCCCCTTCATTTTCCCACTGGAAATAGAGTTCATCCCCATCTTTGAGATGTCACCCCTAAGGCTTTCCTGGGTGAAGTTCGAAGAATGGGCCTTGGGACCAGTTCTGGGGTTGGACCATTTGCGAGCAAATCTAGCTGAGGCTGGCAGCATTCATCGCCCCTGCCTATTGCTTTCTTGGCTTGAGTTCTTTTCGGCAAGGGAGGGAAGCCTGATATAATATGGAGTTCGGCGGTATGGAGCTCATATGCACTACCATCAGCGGCGCACCAGCCTCCATACCCAACCTATGCCTAGAAACGGTGTGGAGATGAGGGAGCCTCCAAAAACCCTTGCCCGCACCCCGCCCTCAACACCCATGCCCTTCGAATCGAGGCAGCGCCGCCGACCAAGAAGGCGAAAGTGAGCGAGGCCTGAGAGGCGATAGCCATGGCGAGGCCTCAGGTGCCCGTTCCGCGCGCTTTTTGGGGGCATCTTGGTGCTGCTCCGGGTCTGTTTGGGAGGGTGTTTGTGGAGCCTTCCCTTTTGGTAGGAGAATGTCCCGCTTAAAGTCGAGTGCCAAGAAAACTTTGCCCTTTCTTTGCCATAGCTTCTGGAGGTGCCCTGTGGAGCACAGCGCGGGCAGTTTTCTGAGCCTTTGCCCCTTTTGAGTCCCTACTTGCCGAGCGGGATTTGCTTTTGGGCAGGTACCATTGCAATCGCTTGGTATGTTTATACGCTCGTGTCTAAAAATGAGGAAACTCCCTTCAAGGTGGGTTTCCCTCTTTGGTTCCCTTTTTTGAAAACTCACCCCAAACAAAGTACCATCAAAATGAGGTCAACTCACATACCCTGTGCCTTTTATTCTGCATTTGGCTTCTTTACGTGGTATGTGCGGACGGTGCACAGGTCGAGCCTGCCTCAGGTGTGGCAGGCAACGTTTGCGCGTCATGCGCGCAATCTGGAGCGGAGGATATGCAAGTAGCCATGGCGAGCATCTCGCCGCGCCCAAAAAAAGTGGAAAGCGGGGTGTGCGTGGGGGGGGGCGGAGGGCTGGATTGGCACGAAGGCCGCTGTTGATGGGTGGCCCTGCCAAATCTGAATGTGCCTTTTTTGACCTTACCGGTTTTTTAACCTTCAAGGATACAAATCGGCCAGTTAAATTGTCACTTTTACCAGCCGATTCAGAGCCGGTTTTTGCATGTATCCTTCTACTGGAACCCCGACCGTCGGGGTTCCAAACGGCTTCTTTCCATCTGATTTCTAGGTTTTCTTGGACAAGTGAGGTGGGCCTACCCCTGCCTCTAAGCGGGTAGCAACATGGCAATGTGCCATGTTGAGGCCACCAGCGGACCCAAAAATGTCATCGAAAGCCCCAAGCGCGGGCCCGGGCTTCCGCAGGTGATGCTGCGGGTGCGGGCGAGGTGGGCCTCGGAGGCGAGGAACATCATTTTGGCCGGGCCAAGGGGCCAACCGACAGTTTGGGAGGTACTGAATACTGAAGCCTTGGAAAAAATAGCAAGCTGAGCAGAGGTTTTGCCTGTGCTTTGCTTGTATCATTTGGCTTCTTGCTGGTTCAGGTAAACCAGTTCCTCCAAGCCGCCCAACCCACCAATTAGAGGGCACTGATTGTTGGGCTTGCGGCGGCCACCGTAAAACTTTAAAAGCTTGCGCGTATGCGCCAGCCCCGGTTAAAGGTTTCTTAGGATGAATCCCGCAACTGGGGTATCCTCCAAACCAATGTTCTATTTTAGGGTTCTAAATATGAAATAGTCAGAAGATATGGTTTTTCGTGTGCAGATGTGGGCCAAGAATTGGTTCCAACTCACAGGTCGAACTCCATGGTTCAAACATCCCTCGATGTAAACCTAGGTGCGCAACATGTTGTGCCAACAGTCAGGAATGGCCAGTTCCCGGGGTGGGGGGCGGGGGTGAAATGCCCCCGCAACGCTGCCACCTGCTAAGTTCACGTGAGGGTTCCGGACAAAATGTAACCACCAAGTGTGCTGCAGTTTGGGCAAGCATGATGCCAGTTTCTTGCCATTACCCAATGCTTTTTGGACCCCTTGCATGATACATCATGATACAAATGTTCACGCAGGATCACTGATGCCAGTGTAAGTCACAGTGTAGAACCAGAGTTGGATGCGCAGTACAGCATGGACTGGATACGTTCCACAACAAAGGCCACCAGAAATGGCGTCCTGCTGGGACGCTGCCGACAAACGTAAATGCTTGCCACAAAGGTTCACTACTGTGCTAAGTCGCTGCAGCTTGTTACGGTCGGCCGTAAGCCCCAACATGTTGCTTTAGTGTCACACGCCTCCAGTGTGAACAGCCCCCACACCACTTACATATGACTGGTCAATACGATGCCTTTTACTCGTACCTTGAGCATCCCACGAACACCCTCCCGTGAGAAAGCCTGAGGTGGACCAACAAAGATCCCACTTGGGGCCGGTGCCTAGTTCAGTGGCACTTTTTGTTCCTCTTTGCTTGGTGGCTTCCCAACCGCGATGAACCCAAAAAGAAATGGTCACCTTTTTCTACTGAAAGTCATTGGTCGCAGCGTGTGTGTTTGTGTGTGTGCCTGGGTTTTGGCCCCACCACTTGGACCAGCGGTCGCTCGCTGGCGGCCCAAACCCGCAGATCCCGAACGTGCAGAAGGGCATCGTGCCGGGAGGTGTGAAGAAAGAGGCGGGAAAGGGCCACGTGGCATATGGGCTTGTTGGAGCTTTCATGAAAATCGCGCATCCTAAAGTTGGCAGAGGACCAGTACGCATGGCGTCAAAGAGGAAGGCTGGGATCTCTCTAGAGCTGGTTGTTCATTGTGGCCCACAATCACGCATATTATGCTATGTTGCTTGATCGGCAAAAGGCCAAGGAAGGCGACCGGCCAGCGCCCCTGGCCCAAATCCCCCCTGCCTCCTTCCCCCGACTCGTGCGAGGCGCAGCTGCTGCGGGAGGAGGCATCCCTGGCCATCCCGACCCACGCCTTCTCTGCAAGCTTCTTGGAAGAGATGGGTGTGTGTGCTTTTTGGAGGGTATCCTTTCCTGTTATCTGTTGCTTGAAAGGAAAACCAAAAGAAAACTAAGCATGTTTAAAGGGAGACAACTCCAGCAAGCCATCAGCGGCCCTTCAGTTTGACTCTTTCCGCGGGCCTTTTAGCCCTTCCTGGATGCCGGAATCCCTCTAGATCCATTTTTGTTTTGAGGGTTTCGCACTAACAATGAACACCACAACTAAGCCACAGGGGTGGTTTCCTGTTTTGGCCCCCGTTTTGATGTTCCTCTTGGGTTTCTCATCTCTGTTTGATTTCTTTCATTTCAATTATGTTCGGTCCTTGTTTTCGATTCTTTCGCTTCCCCCGGCACCGACCGCTGCCAAGCCTCAGCTTGGCAGAGAGGCGGCCTAGGGCTCAGGCACAATATCATAAGCGTGTATACCGCAGGAACCTTTGGTCATGGCTGGCCTAGCCCTGTAGACGTGTTTGGAACGATATGTGTTTTCCTCGGGAGGAATAGCAACCCAGTGATTAACACCATTTCTCACACTGAATTTCGAAAGGAGCGCGCAACGGCTGAATGGTAAATTGTTTGGATGTCGTGGCCTTCCTAAATTGTTAAAGGTCGCAATTCAAGAGCCTACCCAATCATTTTGCCAGAAAGTCGTGACTAGGGCAAGTCAGGAAGGACTCCCATTTTCCATGCATACCCGGGTCATGTGTTTGTTTTTCATCAAAGGGTATGTGTCAGTTGATGGGGGGGAGGCGCCCATGATTTTTGATTTTCCATTTCATTTGGCCCCTCCAAGGGGGAAAGCCGGCGTGTTCATACTTGCTTCTGCTCATTTGAGGGGTGTTTTTTTCTGCTCTTGAAAAGGCACAAACATGGCCTTTCAAAGGGAACCAAAAGTAACACCGTAATTTGTTTAGGTCCCCTTAACAAACACACCCATAAGGCCATAAGAGTTGGAAAACAATCTCCCCCCCCCCCCCGGCCGCCCCCCCACGGCTTGAAGCTCGCGAGGCTTCTTCCCGGGTTGGCTGGACGGCGGCGACGGGGAGCTGGAGGAGCACGCAGAGCTGAAGCTCTGGCAGCGCGCCTCGCCGGCGGCGGCATATGGCTATGGGTCAACATGAAACCACCAGGGGACCGCAGGTTTTGGTCCTTCGTTCCATTTACCAGGGTTTCATTTCGGCTACCTGTTTTTGACCCACAGACATTTTTGTTTTTGGTCTGAAGTGAAGGGATGGGTCCGAAAAGTTAGGATGGCTGGGCTCATTTGGGTGTGGGTCAACAAAAAGTAGCCGAAATGGAATGGTGGTAGATGGAAACAAGGACTAAAACCTGCGGTTTTTCGGTGGGCGGGCATGTCAGTGTCTCTTGCCGTGTCCGGCCGCTACTGAGCGGCGAGGCGCAGGGGGGAAGACGAATGGAAGGTCACCCTCGTGCTCATTTGTGCCATGATCAAAAGAGCGGCCCCTTGGGATTACTAGGGATGGTCAAGGAATCCTTAGCGGCGTTGGGCAAGCAGGATAAGGGTTCCTCTTGAGGGGCCACCATGGCCCACACAAAGACGAACCGTGGCTCATGTAGACAACAGTGCTTTGCCCCGGTACTGCGAGCACAAAAACAAACCGCAAGGGAGCGGACAGACCGTTGTGTTTCCTCTCCTTTTTGCCTTGTGCCACGTTGCACCATCAAACTACGCAGAGTTGACATGAGTTGTCGGCGTTGGCCTCTATGCTTGAAGACCAGCTTTCGAACTGCAAAACAGCCTTTTGTTTTTTGGGGCTTGGCAGTCACTATCTCTCATGAACAGATTCCTTAGCCAAGGTTTGACCTGTTGGTTGCCCTGCAGCTTTCAAGTTTCATTGGCCGTCTCACCAGGCTCGGCTTTTTTACACCGTCATTTGAGCCAGTGAGTATTCAGGCTGGTGTTTCAGGCGCATACTAGGTTTAATTTTGACCCATGCCCATTTGAGTCAGGATCCTGTGGATGAGTTGTTCCATGTTTTGTTTGGAAGGTGATTCATGTTTTCCGCTTCAAGTTGAGCTGAAAAGGCTCCCCTGAAAAAAGCACACTTTCGGATGTTCTAGTATGCCTGACTTGTTTAGAAGGCTAGACTGGAAGGATTGTTTTGACCAATTGTGAAGCAAGCGCGGAGAGGGCGCCCTCAACAAAAAGGGTCAAACACATTCGGAAGGATGGTGCCTGGCGATAAAAGCATATGAGATACCAAGGACTCTCAGCCATTCAACTTGTTGTTTCCTAAACCATAGACGCCCACATATTGCAGGGTGTTTCTATTTCTGTTTCCCTTGAACCCCCTAAAATGAGAGGTCTATGTTTCAGGACGAACTTCAAGCACAAAAAGGACACCGAAAGCCTCAGCCCAGTTTCCACCTGGGTGAAAGCCAAATTGCAAAAAACTGAATTGGAACTTGAGAAGTAGGAATCCTACCCTTGTGAATGCCTGGCGGCCCAGCGGGCCTTCTTTTGCACTTCCGCCCGGATCAAGGCTGCCGCGAGCAAATCCAGCAAGGGTCCCAGCTGGAGGCGACGGTCCGGAGTGGGCGAGCGGGAAAACGTGGGGGCAGGGGGGGGGCTTCAGTTCCGGTACCCTCTCTCCAACTTGCACATGTCTTCACAAGGAAAGTGTCTTCCAAGCCATGCTTATCATGCTTCATCACTGTTGCTTATCATGTGCCCCTTTCAAAAACCATGCAAGAACGTAACAAAAACACGAGAAACAAAGCAAACAACAAACCAACAACTGGCCACGTTTGAGAGACGGCCTTTGGACCGGGTGCCTTAGGATTTGTAGTTTTGATATTTGTCTTCCACAAAAACTAGGGAGGCCAACCCACGGCAGAGAGAGAGAGCGTGAGAGAGAGAACCCCCAGGCCATCCAAACCATGAATAAAGGCTCTGGACAAGGGGAGCTTGATTTCGAAAGTATCATGCCAACACTTGAAGCCAAGTTTAGTCATGATTGAGGAACTGGATGTATGGAATTCTTTAGCGCTCAGATTTTCTGGGTGAGACGGCAACGCTCGGCCTCTCGTAGGCCATATCTGCTCGGATGGGGCTGGGGCCTCAGCGATGCACCTGAGAAGCTCTAAAACCCCTCTGTACATCCCAAGCAAGAGTTGTGTTATAACACGGCCCCGCGAAAGCAAGACCCTGCAAAACCCTGCACGGTGTAAGCCGGCGTAAGCACTTGTTGGGGAAACATGCTGCCCAAGCACCCGTGCAAGCTCTTCTTCGTGATTGCTTGGGAAGCTTTGTAAGAATGCTCGGAAGAGGTGTTTCACACATGTGCCTATGTGTTTGTTGGTGGCTTGTGGGATTTCAACCTAGTCGAGCTTGGCAACTTGCCCAGAGGCTTTGGCTCCAAGAAGACGTCTAAAACCGCATGCGCGCACCGCTAGGAAACGAAGCCGACATAACTTTGATTGGGAGCTCCTGGGGTTAATGCCAGGTGCTGTTGAAACCTTACTAGGACAAAGAAAGGCTTCTAAAACTGCAGATTTAGGAACACTAAAGGGGCTCAGGCGTGTAAGCTCGAGTAAGCGTAAGGTTCTTGTAAGCTCGATTAGCGCGGCTGCCCACTAGCCCTCGCCACAGAAGCTGCTGCTGCGTAAGCCGTTTCTTGACCTGCAGCAAGAACAACAACGCCACGCCGCTGAAACTCGTGCGGGTAATTCTTCGTCATTTTCTTCCTCAGGATCACCCATGTCATCTTGAACAGTTCGCTCAACACGCCGACGTGTAAGCAATGTGTAAGCTTAAGATGCTCGCTGACTGCCGTGTAAGCTAAAAAAACATGGGTCGTGTAAGGAAGGCGCAAGCGCGCGCGTGAGCGACCTGATGAGACACAGGGGTTCATGGCAGGTTTATAGGGTCGCTCACCTGAGAGGGCCATTTGGACCCACCCCGTAGTGCAAGATTTGTATGGTCTGTCAGGTTGGCCTCCTGTATTTCCTCCACTCCCTTTTTTGATCCGGTGACCCCTGACTAAAATACCCATCATTGTTCCAATGGAAAGCAACCAAACAGTCATGGGCGGGACCTGGAGCTTTCCACCACCATTCTTCCCATGGATTTGAGGGGTTGCTCAAAAAACTACAGTAGCTGAGCGAAAGAAGCGGGAGGATCAAGCCTTTTGACTCCCTGAGTTGCTGGAATTTGGGGATTCTTTGGGATGACCAGACCAGCTTAGTGACAAGTTCAGACTTTATATTGGGCCAATCCACTGAGCAAGTTATTCCACCGAGGCGGCTTAAACCCAGAGCCGTTTGATTTCCCCAAACAGGAAACCCATTGGTTTTCGTGTACCTTGGGGTAACCACACAGGTGGAACCCTGATTCGAGGTACCAGATCCTCTACGCGAACCACCATGCCACAGTGCATCGGCGGCCCATGGTGCAGCTCGGACCATGGGTGATCATCACTGGGGGTCAGCTCAACACAACCCAGTTTGACGTCCCCACAGCGGGATACATATTGAACTTTGAATATGTTCCAGACCTTTTGTGCCACATGTGTGATGCATGTTGGGGCTAACCTACCTCAGTTGTCCAAAGCGAATCGGCTGTTTGATTTGTTGGCGTCCCTGTGTTCATCTATGTTCCTAGTCAAGCAGCGTCCTCCGAAATGTTAAGCCCTGATTCGCAGGCCTCTCCAAGTGACACCTGCTGCCTCGAGTCTTGTAGAAGTTTGCTTTGGGTTGGGTCTGCAAGATTCAGGTTTCGCCACGCATCAACCTGGCGGGTGTGGCGGCCGACTTTGGACCCACTAAAATGCGGAAAGCGTCGCGGAAACCGGAGGTCGCTGTTGTTTGGTCGGACAGTTTGCCCGCAACCCCGCCTTTGCGGCATGTATGGCGTGGCGGGGACCTCGCCACCTGGTTTTGGATCAGCCCCAAATTTATTCTGGCATCACGCCTCTGAGTCTGGCCCATTTGCCATTTGTAGCCAAGAAGTCTGCAAGCCAGCGGCGTCACCACTGGTATGTGCCCATATGTGCCACTTGGGTATCAGGCTGTTGAGGTTCTCAAGCATGGCCTCGGTCCAACTTGATGTTCAATGATTTTCAACCAAGCCGGGTCAACAGAGAAATACAGGCCAGCACCCTCCAAGGGTAGTCTATTTGTACCTTTTGTAAGTGCCTTCTATTTGATGTCACATAAGAGCTGGTTTCAAACCCAGCACTTGGCAAATCAAAGCTTGCTTTTACAAGGGTGTGGACACTGAAGGTAGGCTCAGCAGCGTGGCTGCGAATGGATGGCATGAGGATGGTGGGGGGTTCCCTCTAGGAAGAGCCGTGCCGAGGCCGCTGGATTTGGACTCCTCGCGGCCACTGGTGGGCCGGGTGGTGCCTGAGAGTCTGGAGTCGCTGCCTGGCCTTGAGTAGCTTGGGGGCTGGCCGAACTGGAGATTGGGCGATAGCAAGTTGCCGGATTTGTGTATGTTTCTACCTGGGTTGATACGAGCTGTCCCTTCATGTACGGGTGGGGTGTGTGTAGAATGCGGGAGGCGGGGTTGAAGATCCGAGGCTGTGCGCGAGATGCGGAATAGAATGGAATGGATTGGGTCGCTCAGTGAGTTGTAACCGCTGAAGGAGGGTTTTTAAGCGCCCTTGTGGCATGATTGTTGGGCTCGAGCCGTCGAGTTGCGTGTAGGCCGGCCAGCTGCTTTTTGCGAGATTTCCACGTCATGAGCAGGACTTAAGGAACGTTAGAGTCGCGGCTCACATTTTCATCTTCCCCAAAGCCAGGTTTCGGGGTTAAATCCGGCAACCCTGCCACTAGCTGCAAATGCGCGAGCCCTCTGAACTTGTTGACAGGTCTGCACCCGATCAATCAGCAGTGTAAGATTATCAAGAAAGATCCGCGCACTTTACATACCCGACCTAATTTAATGTATAGAGATAAATCATGATAAATCTATTGGGGCAGCTCTATATGCTCGAATGTCCAAGGCGACTCCATGGCTTCCACGGGGTGAGGGTTGAATTCCTTTGCCCAAAAGTTGAAGGGGAGCCTTTCGACTCCTTCCTTCTTCGCAACTCCAAACACGACTGTCACCTTAAAGAGGGCGTCAAAATGTTTTTGTGCCACATCAACCCCAAAGAGGGATTCTGCGTTTGTTCGAGCAAACGCAAAGCATGGGCCTAAAACTAGAGAATTTCTGCACCACAATTGCAGTCCCTTGCCTAAAGCGAATCGACCTTTTGACCTTTTTGTTTTTTCCCCTCTTTCTAGTCCGTTTTTAGCGGCACGGAAAGGTAATCACCTTTTATTTCCAGGTCCTTCTCGGCACCTGAGCCCCCCCCCCCTTGCCCCGCCCCGCCCCACCTGGAACGCGCGCCATGCGGGCGCCCGCGCATCCCCCGCCTGCCGCTTCGGCGGCGGCCGCGGCGCCGCGGCCGCCGAAGCCGCGGCTGTCCTCCCCGCAGTCGGCGGCCGCGTGGGGGAGCCCAGCGAAAAGAGTGGAGCCTCAAGGGGATATCCTCTTAGGGAGCCTTCTTTTGTTGTGGAATGCCACCTTTTTTTCGGGACCCCTTTTGGTTGGAAAGCTTGGTCTTCCGGGAAGGCTTCGGGAGTGGTCCTGTCTTCCCGTTTTAGGGGTGGCCCTGTGGAATCAACTCCTTTCAGTTTTTGCGTTGTTTGCGGTTTTTTGAAAGGGAAGATAACAGTGGGTTTGGAAATTGCCGAAGAAGGTTCCAAGAATCTGTACTGGGGCAGGGGGCGGGCGGCTTTGGTCTTTGGTTTCCTCCCTAGTCCTAACCTCGGATTCATTCGGGTTGATTAGTTTTAGGGGGTGTCCGCTTGTGGGGCATCCCTCACTTTTCGCGGGACCCCCCCCCCCCCGCAGTCTGTCGGATGGGTTTCATTAAGTCTGGAGTCAACATGACATTTTAGCTGGTTTGGACACCAAGCAGTACATTCACCAAGGTTTATCAATCCGGGGTTGCCCTCACAACATTGCTGGAGGCTGCAGCTGCGAGGCCGCACCCTGGCCGCCAAGCAGGACATGGGGCTACTTCCAATGACCTTTGTCAAAGCTGAGCTTTAGCCCCTCGGTTTGTGTCTTGTTTGTTTGTTTGTTTGTTTGTTTGTTTGTTTGTTTGGTTGGTTGGTTGGTTGGTTGGTTGGTTGTTTGGTTGTTTGGTTGGTTGGTTGCTCACGTGTCCTCGGGTTCCCTGAGGTTTCGCCTGCCACTCGGCAAGAACCTTGCAGAACTCTTCCAACAACCAGCGGGCAGGTAATTAGATCACTTTGGGCAAGTGCATGCTTCAAAAGCAAAAGTGCAGCGTGATCCTATGACACGGAACTTACACGGATCATGGTCACAGGATGTCATGAGTCTCATGCTCGGGTGAGTGCCACGCAACGGAGGACACGTTTCTAGAGCTGCCCCGCGGTCCCATGCCGAAGAAGGACACCACCCACGGCTCCTCGACTCGAAGTAATTGGAGCCTCCCTACCACCCCCCTGCTTTCTCCTAAAGACTGTCTGAGGGAGGGCTTTTGTTGGGTGCAGGCAGGTGGGGGGTTGGAATCCTATGATTGGATCTTATTTGGCCAGCTCGGCGCTCGCAACCTTATCTCCTCTCCAGTGAAAGGGCAGGGTGTGCTAATGTTGGTCACACCTTTGCACTAAGATGCACTAAGTGTTTCTTCATTGAATGGTGGCGGCAGGGCAGGGGACCATTGCCCAAGGGGTATGAATCCCCAGTTCATGAAGTAATCTACGACAACTCGCGGCCTTGCCAATCAAACCAGCTAAGAAACTGATCATGGTCACGGGATGTCATGAGCTACATAATCGCGTCCATACACTCAACTCTTGAAGAAGTTCATCTCCAAGCTGCTCAAGTTAGGGCGAGAGTCATGTATGGTGTATACCCGTGAGGTCTGGGGCAGGTGCTAGGGACGGCGGCCTTTCACCTAGTCACCCAGATTTGCATCCAAATTGGCAACGCATGCATGTGTGCACGTGTCGAATTGCGCGCCATCTACCAGCGAAGACACCCAGAAAACACAAAGGATGGTTAAGGTCGCAACGAACGAGGTCGGACCATGGCTTTTCCTTCAGGCTCATGTCAGATTTCAGACCCTTGGCGCACAGGTGGGGATCCCAATCCTTGTAAAGCCCTGGGGTTGCTCCCCTATGCCATGCCAGCTTGCCAGCTTGCCAGGCGCCTGGTCCCCCCACACGGTGGAGATTCAGGGCGCGGACGGCGAGGTGGTGGCGTTGAAGCCCAGCGGCGAGCGGGCGCTGCTGCGGGTGGATACCGCCAGGACCGGGTGGGGTGGGAGGGGTCGGGGGGCGGGTGGTGGGGAGGGTGGGAGGGTGTGGTGGGGAAGGGGAGGTGGGGGGTGGGGACGCTCACCCTGGGTTCATCACGGGGGTTCCCAAGTCACGGATTTCGGATATCGCCAGGCGTTTCCATCCTATTTTTCTGAAGTGGACACCCCCCCGAGAAATCAACCAATTCAGACAGGGGCTTGCTATTTCGCGGTTCCCATTTGTCTGGATTCACTTCCAAAGTTGCAAGCAGTATGTCAGTATGTATGTCTCTTTTTCGCTGATGAATCTCAGATTTGTCAAACCGTGGCTGCTTTTCATCGGGGTGGATCTCGCGATGAATTGGTCGGATCTAGTCCAGGGCCCGAATTTGTTTTGACAAATCTGAAGCATGACGCGTACCTAGACCAGCGTGAAAGCAGATGGCACAATTTCCCTCAGGTCGGCAAGTACAAATGCACAAAGGTGCCATTTGCTTTCGCTCAATTGTAGATCCCCTTTATGTATCTCAATTGTTGAACCTTAAATGTGATGTCCAATTTTCCCTTTGATAGGAAGCGGGACCCCGCCCCTCCCCGCCCTTGCATTGCAGGATGGCGATGCCGTCCTTGCAGGAGGCGCTGGTAGAGCCACTTGCCCAAAGCGAATGGATAGATCTGACCTTTCTGAGTTAATGGCAGAAGATGTGGATGTTGACCTTTCACTTCCAGGTCTTTTGGGGCATGTGTGGTCAAAACGACCTTTTACTTGGTAGGGACAGTCGTGGAACTGCAAGGAACCCTCTTGGACTCATGACCATGGCCAGCAGGAGGTTTGATGGCTGCCCGTCTGAGGCAACCCCCAGCCACGACGCTCCGCGCGGAGTCACCGGGGCGAGCGCCGGCGAAGGCGGCACCGAAGGCAAAGGCGCCAGCGCACAAGGCGCCGGCGCCGGCGCCGGAGGCCTCAGCGACCCGGCGCCCGGAGGTGGAAAGGTCGCCCAGTGGCCGAAGGCAGGGCAGGGGCAAGAAAAACAAATCATCCAATGGATTGCCTGGTTGCAGTTGTTTTGATGATCGCTTCCTTGTCGGGTGTCAAGACATTCATGGGCCAGGACGGACGAGCTGTGGCATTCTGGTACCGCTTATTCTCTTGTTGTATTTAGCAAGATGCCGAAAGGTTGATAGGTTCCAGGTTAGACGGCTTCGAGAGCTCGATGCTTGGTCCATGGTTTCAACTCGAAGCTCTGTGCCATTTGCCCATGGACAAACGAGGAGCGCCAATCTTTCGCGATGCGCTGCAGGATGGGTGATCTTTGAAAAGGGGTTGCGCACTTCCGTGATCTTCCATGTTTGGTGGTGGAAGGGTAAGCTTTCTTGTTTGATGCAGCCGTCCCTTGCTCCAACGGAGATGTGACGGTCTTGCCATCATGCTTTTGATGAAGGTGCGCTGTTCATGTCATTGTCATCCATGTTCCCACTTCTACGTAGTGCGTCCCAGCCATACTTTTTGGACGTTTACATGTTGGGCGTTTAGTGGGATTTATGACATATCCCGCTTTTAGAAAGGGAGGCGAGCCAGGATCACTATGCAACATAGAGACGTGAAGCAGCAATGCGAAGCATCAGACAGCATAAACCCTCCATACTTCAGTCGTCCGACTTTTGCATCCTCCCCCCCCGTCCCCCCATTTCACAAGGCGTGTTCGGACTGGAACCGCTGGTCGGATCATGGGACAGTTCAGGCCTAAGCACGAGGATGCAGAGAAGAGCCCAGAACTCAAGCCTAAGCGGCTTCAGGCAGGGCGTGTTGCTGAAAGTCATATTCTGCCAACGCTCGGTATGTTGTAGCCAAGGCTCCAGAACCGTTGATGTTTATGCCCTTTAGGCAAGTGAGGGGCTTAGCGGCCAGCAAGAGTAGATTACGGGAAGCTAAGCGTTCCTCACTTGCGTGAATGCTGAATCCACCGTGTCGCCGCTTTGCCACAAAGAGACCAAAAAGAGTTGTTTAAGGAACAGCGGCACACACATTGCAATTTCATGGCCGTTCGACGCATTGTCTCTTACATCGTGCGATGTATCGGCGGGAAGCATTGCTTTATTC